GTCCAAATCGCCCCCTGCCCAAGCAGGAGACCCCCCCCCCCTACACCATTTGTGACCGATGGCAGTCCAGTCTCTTCTTGAAAACCTCCAGGGATGAAGCTCCCACAACTTCCGGAGTCGACTTCTGCTCCATCGGTTGATTGCTCTCACTCTCTTTGAAACTTGGCTTGAGGCTCATGACTTAATTAGGGCATCCCTCGTAACCCTGGCAGGCATCTTTTCGTTCTTCAGGAAAAGATGACCAAGCCAGCTCTGCGGAGAACTGCGCTTTTGAAATTAACCTTAAATCTATTTCTGCCTCCTCCTTGCCCCCAAGCAATGCTTCTTAAATTCTCATCATTTGCCAATTGTGATGCAAGGCTTGGCACTTCCTCTTTTATTTTGTTTTTTCTCCTTTTTTTTTTGTTCCATATTCCTCTTTGTTTTTCTGTCTGTCTTCATCTGGGTCCCTGGTGTCTTATGAATCTTTTCTCCAACCCGAGAAAACCCCATTGTGAAGTTGTGGAGAGTGCGTGCCTCCCAACGGACGGTGCCAACACATCCGAAGGCCGCTGGGTTGGAGAACGGACCTTCTCCGATGCTCTAGAATTGTTTTGCCCCGCTTCAAAACACAGCTTTTTCTCCTTCCCTTGCACAACCCTTCTCTGCGAGGACGTAAATATCTTCATTGCACAACCACACAGCGGAGTCATAACAAGATACTCATTGAAATAAACATGGAAATTTAACTTGGGTGTTGAAACCTTCCTGTGTGTTTGTTTTGCTGGATCTTTCCATTCCCATCCAAGAGAAAACAAAAAAATGAAACAAATAATAGTTTAAAGGTTCTGCACCAATTCCTGGTCATTTAGTTTTTCCTTCGGAACATTTTTAATCCATCCACTGATTTTCTTGATGGGAAATGCCCAGCAAGGGCAAATTTGTTGGGGGTTTTTTTTGAGAGAAGAGAAATGGATAGTATAGAATACAGAATAACAGAGTTGAAAGGGACCTTGGAGGTCTTCTAGTCCAACCCCCTGCCTAGGCAGGAAACCTTATACCGTTTCAGACAAATGGCTATCCAACATCTTCTTAAAGACTCCCAGTGTTGGGGCGTTTACAACTTCTGAAGGCAACTTCTGTTCCACTGATTCATTATCCTCACTGTCGGGAAATTTCTCCTGAGTTCTAGGTAGCTTCTCTCCTTGATTAGTTTCCACCCATTGCTTTCTTGCCCTGCCTTCA